TGATTCTAGAGCTCATGGTCTTTCCCAGAGATTGGCAAACCTTTCTCATAAAGTACCAAATGGTTACCATTTTAGGCTTTGCAGGACATACAGTCTCTGTCACAGCTACTCAACTCTGCCACTGTAGCCTCAGAGAAGCCATAGACAATATGTAAATGAACGGGACAGTTTCTGATAACATTTACAAAAACAGTGGGAAAGATTTGGCTCTCAGACTGTAGTTTGCTGATCCCTGCTCTCAACAATTACACTATTCTGTTATTTTTTTGCCCTTTAATCTCCAAAGTTTTCAGTTCAACAAATATTTATAAAATTGTTTCTAAACACAAGGTACTGAACTTTGTCCTGGAGGGGATGAGGAAGACAAAGCTCTGCCTTGAGGGACCTCAGGTGCCAAAGATGGTACACAAACACATCCATAGCACCAAGCTGACTACTCAGTGCCAAAAGAGGGGTATAGACTGACTAGAGATTTTCCTGAGGGACACATGGTGTTTTGGCGCAGTAGGTGGTGGGTAATGGCATAGCTTTCTAGTGAGAATTATAGGTAGGGATGGTGAGGAGAAGGTTGCAGACAGAGGAGCCAGCACAGGCAAGAATTTTTCTATCCATTTGTCACTTATTTTTTCTACCTTTTATCACAATTCATTTACATCCTCTCTCTTTTCCTTGCAATAAACATATGCACTTGAGTCTAAATCTTTTTGTCTTCAACCTCACCTACTTTCTCCCTTGCTTTCCTCCCCCCCACCTCCTTCTTTTTAAAAATTATTTATTTTATTTCTTGATTATTGATCCTGTTCTATACTGGGCTCAAGGCACATGTTTATATCACAAACTTCATTTAAAGTTTAATTCATGTATGTCAACACAGTTGACACATTATCTAAGGCAAACCACCCTGATGTATCATTAAAAAATGCCATTTAGATTTAATGCAATCCCTATCAAAATACCAACATGAAACTACAACAAACAATCCTAACATTTGTATGGAACCACAAAAGACCCCACATAACCACAGCCACCTTGAAAAAACAAAACAAACTTGGAAGTATCACAATTCTGGATTACAAGATATATTACAAAGCTGTAGTAATCAAAACAGCATGATACTAGCACAAAAATAGGCACATAGATCAATGGAACAGGATAGAAAACTCAGAGACAAACCCGTAATTCTATGTCAATTAATCTTTGACAAAGGAGTCAAGAACTCCTTTGAAAAAGACTCTCTTTAACTTTAACTCTCTTTAACACATGCAGGTGGGCAGCTACATGCCAAAGAATGGAACTAGACCACTTTCTCCCACCACACACAAAAATAAACTCAAAACGGATTAAAGACCTAAATATGAGACCTGAAACCATTAAAAAAAAAAAAAAGTCCCAGAAGAGAGCACAGGCAGTAATGTCTCTGACATCGGACGTTGCAACATTTTTCTAGATGTGTCTCCTGAGGCATGGGAAATAAAAGCAAAAACAAACTGTTGGGACTGCTCCAAAATAAAAAGCTTCTGCACAGCAAATGAAACAACCAACAAAACGAAAGGACAACTTGCTGAATCAAAGAGGATGCTTAAGGATGACATATCCCATAAAGGGCTAGTGTCCAAAATACATAAAGAACTTATATAACTCAACACCCCCAAAACAAATAATCCAGTTTAAAAATGGGCAGAAGATATGAACAAACATTCTCCAAAGAAAACATACAGATGGCCAAGAGACATAGGAAAAGATGCTCCACATCACCCATCATCAGGGACATGCAAATCAAAACCACAGTGAGATAATCACCTCTCACTTGTCACAATTGCTAAAATAAAAAACACAGGAAGCAAGAGGCGTTGGTGAGGATGTAGAGAAAGAGGAACGCCCATGCCCTGTTGGTGGGAATGCAAACTGGTGCAGCCACTGTGGAAAAGGGTATGAAGGGTCCTCATAAAATTCAAAATAGAGCTACCCTATGACCCAGCAATTGCATTACTGGATATTTACCCCCTGAAATACAAAAACACTAATTCAAAGGGATACATGTACCCCAATGTTTACTGCAGCATTATCTACAATAGCCAAATTATGCAAACAGCCCAAGTGTCCACTGGTAGATGAACAGATAAAGAAGATATGGTATACATATAGAATGGAATATTGTTTATCCATAAAAAGAATGAAATCTTGCCATTTTGCAACAATATGGATGGAGCTAGAGGAGTAGGTGATGGGGATTAAAGAGTACATTTATCATAATGAGCACGGAGTAGTGTATAGAACTGTTGAATTACTATATTGTACCCCTGAAACAATATTGCACTGTATGTTAATTATACTGGAATTAAAATAAAAGCACTTAGTCAAAGGAAAAAAAAAGAGAGAGGGAAAAAAGCATACTTGAAGCTAAAAAAAAAAAGGGAAAGGAAAAAATGCCATTTCACACAAGTGAAATATTAACTTACTTCTGTCATTTCAGTCAACATTGATATCCCCTAGTCGATTCTGGGCAATCAATTACATCTACCATTTGACCAATTTAATCTCCTTTTGTTTCTCATGCTTGCCCATACTACTAGTCTGTGCTGTTAACGCACCTCTTTTAATCTTCTTGTAATTTTTTTCTTCCTCTCTTCCATCCTTCCTCTTTCCTGTGTTTTGGATTGGTGTCTTTTTATTTTTTTCTCTTCTGGAGCCATGTTATTTTCTTTCACCTTTCTGAAAATATCTCTAAAAAAATTCTTTGTTCATGAATTCAACTAATATTTATTGAGAAATTACCATGTGGTGGGTCCTTTCCTCGGTGCTGGAAGACATTAAGGCAAGAAACAAAACCGATAAGTAAACTGTGGTATAGAAAGTGTTAAATGCTATGGAGAACAATTTCTCAGAATCAGGAATTCGGGTGGAATGTTTACAATTTAAAAAATCAACCAGGGAAGCTCATTAAGAGATCCGTTCAGCATATAGCTGAAGGAAGCAAACCATGCCGGTGTCTGCTGGGAGAGTGTGGAAAGTTCCACACTAAAGGAACAGCATGTGCAAAGTCCTGAGGCGGGAGTGCGTTTCCCCTAGTGGAGGACCACAAGGAGTCCAGTGTGGGAGGAAGACAACGTGATGGGGGTGGGCAGGATGAGGGACACAGACTGCTCAAGGACTTCTTCACTGGAAGCATTTTGGCTTTTACTTTGAGTGAAATGGAAATCCTTTACAGGGTTTTGCGCAAAGTGAAATGTTGACTTATACTTTTAAAAGATCAAGAATATAGGGAGGTGAGAGAAGAAGCCGAGAAACCAATCAAGAGATTGCAAGATTCCAGGCAATAAATGGGAATATTATGGGGAATGTTTTCCGGAAGAATCAGAGTAGTTACTTTTGTTTTACAAACCTGACGATGGAAGACTAAGCGATAAGAACTTGAGGCATGACAATGCATTTTACCAGCCCCAGCTCCTCAAGGCAATATTGGGTGATTTTGCCCTGCTAGTCTCAGGATTGTTAAACATTTTGAATTGTCTTTTGGACTGCTAGATGATCTAATGCCTGGCACATAATTGACACACAGAGATGTTTCTGAAATGAGTATGTAATCCGCTGAACGGGTAAGGCTGAATTACGTTATCCCCTAACTTGCACATGCATGATTCATTTCTCCTGCATACTCTGGTGGTGCTTATTGTGTCTTTAAATTTTCCTTAGCAAAGTATATCAAAAGTGCCACATTATAAACACACTCTGATTCCTGAAATCGAAATGCCCCAAAGCAATTTGGGCAGTTCTCTGCCACAGCAGTTATCATTTGCCTCTTTTGTCTTGAGTTTTTTCAGGGCTGGAATCCCTTCGCCCAGCACAGGGCTTGCTGACAATATTGAAAGTACATATTATATGATAAAGGGTAGTGGAAAGAAAACATATGAATTACCTACAACCAGTCACAGAACTTTGTTTCTTGAAAAAAATATTTTCATTTCCCTTAGAAAAAAAAACAATTCTTAACCTACTTAACTTCTTTTTTTTTTTTTTTTTAAGATTTTATTTATTTATTTGACAGAGAGAGATCACAAGTAGACGGAGAGGCAGGCAGAGAGAGAGAGAGAGAGAGAGAGAGAGAGAGAGAAGCAGGCTCCCTGCTGAGCAGAGAGCCCAATGCGGGACTCGATCCCAGGACTCTGAGATCATGACCTGAGCCGAAGGCAGCGGCTTAACCCACCGAGCCACCCAGGCGCCCTCAGCTACTTAACTTCTAATTCTATTTTAAGCCCTGGATGAGCTGGAGCAAAGTATTGGTCTCTGGTAAAACATCTGGTTATCACCAGTGAATAAATGATCATGAAATCCTGGGAACTGAGCTCTCAGGGTCTGGGACTTGCACTCTGTGGACAGACTGCTCCACTTCCCAGTGGGTCCATGGGGGGCACCAATCAACCTATTTCAACAGCAAAATGAGGTCTTTAACCTTCTTAAAAGGAGCCTCAGATGACTCTCTGACACCCCCACCCCCTCCCACAGAACCCTCCACCCCCACATCTCCTCCTCAGTGTGCACCTGTCCCTGCACCCCCTCTTGCATTGCCTTCCATGCCCGCATCTCCCCTTCAGGGTGCATCTGTCCCTGTGCCCACACCCCTCCCCCACAGGGTGCATCTGTCCCCCACCCGCCCCCCCTCCCCCACGCCCGCTTCTCCTCAGGATGCCCCTACCCTGCACCCCCTTCTGCCAGTGCCCTCCACGCCCGCATCTCCTCCTCGGGATGCATCTGTCCTGTCCCCGCTCCTGGCCAGGCCCCATCAGACTCTCCCCCTCCAGAGGAGCCTGGGTCCCGGGCTCCTCCTCTCAGACCCAACGCCCTCTCGGTGCCCCTCCCCCCGAACTTCCGCTCGCGCCCCCTCCCCTCGGGCGGGACTTCCGCTCGCGCCCCCTGCCCGCGCCGCGTCGTCCCCGTAGCAGCCCGAGGGGAGGCTGGGAGCGTGTTCTTGCGCTCTCGCGCCGGGTCCGGGGTGCGGCGGCAGCGTCCGGTGGCGGCGGCCGTGCTCCTCCCTCGCTTGCGCTCCCCCCGCTCCTCCTCCTGCTCCGGCTCCTCGTCGTCGCCCGGCTCGGCGAGCTGCGAGCGGCAAGATGGCGGCGCCCAGGCCGCCGCCCGCCCGGCTGTCGGGCGTCATGGTGCCCGCGCCCATCCAGGACCTGGAGGCCCTCCGCGCGCTGACGGCGCTCTTCAAAGAGCAGCGGAACCGGTAACGGCCGGGCGGCGCGGGCGAGCGGGGAGCGGGCGCCCCTCCTCCCGGGCGGCGGGCGGCGGAGGCCTCCGCGGTGGGCCCGAGGGGCTCCGGGGGGCTGGGCCCTGCCGCCCATCCGCCGGCACAGGTGCGGAGCCGGGCGCGGGAAGGGGCCGTCCCAGGCCAGCCCGGAGCCACCGGCCGCCCGGCTTGCTGGCCGAGCGCGCGCGGGGGGCCCCGGCCGGGAGCCGTGGCGAGGCCCGCAGTCGCGTCGCGGCGTTCTGGCGGGCAGGGGCGCGTGGCGGAGAGCCGGGGGCGGCCGCGGGGACCGCCTCGCTGCGCGGTGGGGCAGCCCCGGGGGCTCGGGCCGCGCGGGGTGGGGAGCGGGAGCGTCCTGCTCGGAGGGGGCGGGCCGCCGCGGCCCTGGCTGCTGTCGCAGGAGCGACATGGCCAAGTCGGAGGGGCCGGACTCGGCGGACCTGCTGGGCCTGGCCTTACAGCCCGTGCGGTATTGGGCGACTTCTTCAAGCCTTCGTTGTTTTGTTTTTTTTTTGTTTTGTTTTTTTTTTTTTAATGTCTAAAATGGGAATATAACCTATAACTTCATTTTGGGACTGTACAGTGTGGTGAATGAAATAAATAAAGCCTGTGAAAATGCAAAGTATGTGACACTCTCCGTCGGTGCTTGTTTTATTGTGTTGTAGTCTTCTCCGGGCCTCGGTGTCCTCATCCGATTACATGGGAACAGTGTCGCACAGCATTTCCCTGGGAGGATGGCTGTAAGGATTAGATGAGAGAATGCCTACCAGATCCCTAGTACATAGTACCAAATAAACGTCAGCTCGTGTTCTTTTCCTTTAAGACGTTTATCGACGGTCCCCGTGTTCCAGGCTTTGTGCTACGTGATGAAGTTGAGCAATGAAGTCCTTTCCCGGGAGGTCCTGTTCTGGGGGAGCTGGCAGATAATTTTATCGTGGGGGGGTGGGCACAAAGAGAGCACAGAAAGGGACCGCTATGTGCTGGCTGGTGCAGATGATCAGGCCCCAGAGGCCCTCTGATCTTTAAATGGGACACCTTGGTCTGAGCCCTTCGGCTCCCTTAGATCACAGTAGAAGCATTGAGCTGTTGAAGGCGTGGTGAAAGCCCTGGGCACTCAGTGGGGTCTGGGGAAGGTAGGTAATTGATAAGATACTCCTAGGAGATGCAGTGATTGACTTAATGCTTCAGCACATCTACATCCTGGTGGACCTCCCTCGCAGTTGATTATCAGCTGTCAGCCGTGTACTGAGCATCTGCATGTGAACAACTTGTAAAGGTCCAGTCAAGAAGGTTCCCCTGAGGGAACTTGGGGATCTGTTGGATAGATGGTGGGGAAGGAAAGGCTTTAGATTATTTTGGCTGCATGGCTGACAGATGAGAGGGCTAATTAGGACAGTATATGCAAAGGAATCATACGCAGATCTTGCAGGGCTCCCGAGAGGATTAAATGAAATCACATGAGTAAGATGTCTGGTTCAGAGGAGACGTTCAAACATCAGATCCCTTTTTGTAATCTTTGGGATAAAATCCAAGACCCTGAGCCAGTTTACAGGCCCTTCCCGATGGTCGTGAGGGGTGTGGATGGGGAGCCCCTGAATGTTTTCTAGGAGGTGGCAAGATAAGTCCTCTGCATTACAGAGAAGTGTCTCACGGCCACGTGGGGGCATAAATTAGGGAGGGCGAGGCTAGCTAGAGGCAGGAGACTTAAGAAGCTGATGCAGAAGCCCAAGGGAAAGAAAATGGCCTGAACTGGGACATTGTTTATGAGGATGGATAGGCTAAGTACTGAAAAATATTTACAAGGTCGAATGGACAGGCATCAGGGTCCAACTGGATTGTTGGGGAAGAGTGAGCAAAGGAAGCTTTCCACATTTGACTTGAGCTTTTCTGGGTCAGTGTCCTTGTTCCAGGCAGAGTTTGGAGACCAGGGAGAGGTGGAGTGCTGTGCAGGTCTGGGGATGGGGAGGTGGAATTTGGTGGTGCAGAGAGCCCTGCAGGTGGATAGTAAGGACAGGTTGTGGCACTGGATCTGTCCCTGCCTCCGTGTGTCTTTGAGCAAGTTACTCGTTGCTCCTTCTGTGCAGGGGGACCCAGAGGGCGGATGGGCCAGCGGATCCTGTGCTGGATGGGACGCAAAGTGAAGCAAAATGAGGCCTGGGAGCAGCCTATAGAAAACACCAGACCAAACCAAAACAGACTGGGAAAGAAAGTAATTGATGGAACAATAGATGAAAATCTTGGCTGAAGTAGTACGTGGTGTTTTCCATATGTGTGACACTACACACACCAGCTTCTGTGGTAGCTGGAGTCAGAGAAGCATCCTGAGGTAGAAGCACAAAACCTTGGGAACCAGGTAGACCTGGGCAGGACTTGTGGCTTATCTCCCTGGACCTCTTATCTGAAAGTGGGATGAAACTGCTCCCTTGGCGGAATCACTTGAGGCTCTGGAACATTGTACGCACAGCACGGTGTTTCTTGCTGCTTATTTAATACCGGCTGTGAAAACGCGGTTGGGTTGGAAGTGACCGAGAACCCAGTCGTGTTTAATCTCTTGCCTTTTAGGAAGCACTTGAAAAGGTTATAATGTATTCTAATTTTTAGATTTCCAGGGAAAGGGATCCCAGGATCTCATTACAACCCCCAAGTGAACGGAAACTCCTGTCCCATTATAACGGTTTTTGTTGCTCCACGGATTCTTTGATACTCCATCCTTCAAGAGCAGGAGGTTAATTCCTCTCTCCTTTGTGGGCTGAATTTAGTCACTTGCTTTTAATATAATAGATTACGGTGGGAGTGACAGTGTGTCACTTCTGAGACTAGGTCAGAAACGGCAGCGCAGCTCCCTCTCTGCTCTCTCTCGAATCACTGACAAAGTCAGCCGCCATGCCATGAGGACGCTGTCCTCTGTGCAGAGAGATCCGTGTGGCCAGGAAGGTGGTGAACCATCTTTGAAGTGATGTTCTTAATTCAAGGGAAACTTTCCCACCATCTGTGCAACCTCATGAGACCCGAAGCCAGAACCGCCCCGCTCAGCCACTCCCAGATTCCTGATCCTCAGACCTGCGCGAGACCATAGCGAGACCATAGCGGTAGCGTTTTAAACTGCTGTGTTTGGGGTCATTTGTTACATAGCAGTAGATCATTAATACACCAATCTAACTTCTTCATGCCCTGGATTGTATAGCCCACTTCTTGAATAGTATCTTAATCACAAAAATCCATAAAAAAGTTGCTTAGAGTCATGAAAGACCAGTATTAAGATAGTACTCAGTGGGGTGCCCCCCGGGTGTGCAGCCTGTTAAGTGTCTGACTCTTGGTTTCCGCTCAGGTCCAGATGTCGTTATCGTGAGGTGGAGCCCTGTGTTGGGCTCCGAGCTCAGTGCGGAGTCTGCTTGAGATTTTCCCTCTCCCTCTGCCCCTCCTGCTGGTGCTCCCGTCCACTCTTTCTCTCTCTTTGAAATAAATAAATCTTTAAAAAAAAAAAAAAAGAGGGGCGCCTGGGTGGCTCAGTGGGTTAAAGAGTCTGCCTTCAGCTCGGGTCATGATCCCAGGGTCCTGGGATCAAGCTCCACATCAGATTCTCTGCTCGGTGGGGAGCCTGCTTCCTCCTCTCTCTCTGCCTGCCTCTCTGCCTGCCTCTCTGCCTACTTGTGATCTCTGTCAAATAAATAAATAAAATCTTAAAAAAAAAAAAAGAATACTATTCAGCTGTTTCTTCTCTATGGAAGGTAATTCTGTTTCTTACCGATTACATTTGTTTTCTACTTTTTGTTTAATGTACACATCTGCGTTTTTAACATTTATTTAACAAGTGATTTTTCTTGCTGTGCTGTCAGTCTTCATTAAATTCTTTCTGAAACAAAATAAGATATAGATACATTAAAAATTCTATTTTTGGGTTTTTGCTGGAGGTTTTCCAACCCTTTAGTTACCTTCATGGTGTATCTCTCCATCATCTCTCTGTGATGGAGCCGGACCCTTACGTTAACATGTGGAGCCTCATGGAGCTTATTGTCGAACTCTGTGCTTCCACTGGCCATTGAGTAGCCATTAGCTGTGTGTGGCGATTTAAATTAATTAGAAATAAGTAAACTGAGTGGTTGTGTTCCTTACTGGCAATAGCCACATTTCAAGTCCTTAGTAACCACATGTGGTTAGTGGCTGCTGTGTTAGTCACTGCGGATGTGGAATATTTTCATCATTGTAGGAAGTTATGGATAGTGCTGCTGCCTCTCTCTCTCTCTCTTTTTTTTTTTTTTTTTTTTTTTTTTTTTTTTGGGGCAAGATTATGTTCTGGTTCTTGAGCATTCCTGAAGTAATGTAACATTGGATATTACTTTCTATAAATTCTTCTCAAACTTAAACTGATACCTCATTGTTCTTCCATTTGCTAAGCTTCTTTTTTTTTTTAAAGATTTAATTTATTTATTTGAGAGTGAGAGCATAAGCGGGGAAGAGAGGCAGAGGGAGAAGCAGGCTTCCCACTGAGCAGGGAGCCTGACACGGGACTCGATGCCAGGACCCTGAGATCATGACCTGAGCCGAATGCAGATGTTTCACTGAGCCACCCAGGCACCCCCATTTGCTAAGCTTCTGGATGAAGCGAGCATACCACATTCACCGTATCCCTAGCATCTAGCATGGAGTCTGATAATTAGAGGTGCTTGACAAATTTTTTTTTTAAAGATTTTATTTATTTATTTGACAGGGAGATGACAAGTAGGCAGAGAGAGAGGAGGAAGCAGGCTCCCCGCTGAGCAGAGAGCCCAATGCGGGGCTCGATCCCAGGACCCTGAGATCATGACCTGAGCGGAAGGCAGTGGCTTAACCCGCTGAGCCATCCAGGCGCCCCGTTGACAGATTTTTGCGGAATTGCTGGTACGCGTAGCTTATTACCCATGGTACATGCTTGGTCTTTTCTTCCAATCTCATGTAAAACATACAGGTTTGTATACATACATAATTTTTTAACTTCTGTC